CATTATCACCTGTTCTGAGTCTTCCTAATTTTGCATTTAATCTGCTTTCCATCAGCAAAATCACGTGTACTCTTAATTGTTCTGTAACATTTTTTCCTGGATATTGTGTGTTTCAGGATCTGTTAACGAAGCAGACTATTGGTAAAGGACATGAGTCAGCTGGTCTTTATATTTTGGATACATCAATCACAAAAGGTATCTCTTGTCTTGGGGTCGAGACTTTGTTAGAGGCTCATTACCGATTAGGACATCCATCTCTCCCATTAATGAAGCAAATAAATCCCCAATTCAATAAGATGACCTCTTTACAATGTGAGTCATGTCAATTTGTGAAACACCATCGTACTAGCTTAAGCCCTCGAGTTAATAAACGAACCAATGCTCCATTTGACCTTGTTCACTCTGATGTTTGGGGCGCTTGCCCGGTTGTGTCTAAAGCTGGTTTTAAATATTTTGTTACCTTTGTTGATGACTATTCTCGTATGACATGGCTATATTTCATGAAACGTCGATCTGAGTTGTTCACTCATTTTTCTTCCTTTTGTGCTGAAATTAAAACTCAATTTAACGTTCCTGTTCGGGTGTTAAGAGGAGACAATGCCCAAGAATATCTATCTGTTACATTTAAGTCATTTATGCTTCAGCATGGTATTATTCATCAAACTTCATGCGTTGACACACCTCCTCAAAATGGGATTGCAGAACGAAAGAACCAACATCTGTTAGAAACTGCAAGGGCTCTTCTATTCCAAATGAATGTGCCTAAACTATTTTGTGCTGATGTCGTGTCTACTGCATGTTTTTTGATACATCGTATGCCATCTTCTGTTTTGAATGGTAAAGCTCCTTATCATTGTCTATTTCCAAACAAAGAGCTTTTTCCTATCCCACCTAAAATATTTGGTTGCACTTGTTTTGTTAGAGATGTTAATCCTCATCTTACAAAGCTAGATCCCAAATCATTAAAATGTATTTTCTTGGGTTATTCTCGAGTCCAAAAGGGGTATAGATGTTTTTGTCCGAGTACAGGTCGGTATCTTGTATCTATTGATGCATCATTTCATTAAAATACACCTTTTTCATCATCTAAGGCAGATATAATCATGAGAATAATGATGATATACTCATTTACACGATGACTATTCCCGGGTCCACACTTTCGACAAGTATTCCACAAGTTATTGTTCCTGACCTTAGGCCTCCTGTACACTTGGTATACACCCGTCGACACAAAGCACCTGATCACCCTCCACCGGCGACAACTGTGATTATTTATCCTGATACTAATCTGACTTCGATCTCATGTCCTGAACCAGTACCTGCATTGTAACACCGTCCCCAAATGTATTTACCTTTAAGCGAATAATTTATTGAACCCTATGAAATTTTTGTGAATTTACGAGGTTGTGAAATTGTATTAATTTTTTTCCGCGTGAATAGTAAAATGCACGTGGGGCCCACATCGGGAGTGGGGACCGCCCGATATTATCGGGACCACATATTAGATTCATCTGGGCCTAGAAAATATGTATATGGTGGTGGATATCCTAATTGGTCCATAGCAATGGCACAGGGTTGACCGGTTGGTCAAACAAGGCCAAATTATCGGTATCGGCAAATTTATCAGATAACAGCCCAAAAAGGGATTTCGGAGACTTCTAAATTGAGGTTGGGGAATGCATATTGATTCTAGGGTCCCATGAGGATTGGGAACAAGTGTTATATTTTATTTGACCCGATAAAATAAAATATACTTAAAATAGTCCGGAAAATACAACTTTCGGGACCGATTGTACACTTCTGGACAAAAAGGGTTGACCTCCCACATGGGTGGGGGCCAACCCACGAATTTAGCCTCATTATTCAGGGCCTGATCAGGCTGGTAGGAGAGGTGAGGTGGGAGAGGACTGATTTGAGATGTTTGGCATCAAAACAAATCATGGTGGCCCTCCTCTCTTTCACTCATTTCCCAAATAGAGACAAGGAGGCATTCCTACCCATCCCCCTCCTCACCAGTTCGGATAGCATCAAGGGAAAGGAGGAAAGAACCTCTACAACTTCATCCTTCATAGCAAAATTGGGACAGAGCTCAAACAAGAAAGTTGGGAGGAAGTTAAAGAAGGAAAAAGCTAAGAAAAAGTGTGAAAATTAAGGTAATGACCTTATCATAACCTTTCCTTTGTTTTTCTTCTAGTATATAAGATATATATCATATGAAAGACTTTTAGTATTGTTCTACATGATTTAAGTGTGGAATAATGGGTTGGAAAGTGATTCTAAGTCCAAAAACGGACTTAGAAGCCAAATCGACCGGTTTGTCAGAAAATAGCCTTTTATAGGTTATTTGTGTTGATATGGGTTTTGTGATGATAAAACCTTGTTAGGAACTTAATTTAAAGTATTTTGAGCTTCACCGGAGTTTCGTCGGAGTTGGTCAAAGTTCGCCGGAGTTGGTCAAAGTTCACCGGAATTAGTCAAAGTTCAATCGAGAAGCATAGAACGCGCTTAAGCTTAATTAAGGTGAGGATGACCGACTATGTTACTTATAATCTTTGGGTTAATTTCATGGGATTTCCTAAGTGAATACAAATGTGATGTGCATGGGTTGTTAATGGTTAATAATGCCTAAATAAAACTACTATTGATTATAAGTATAGTATGCATGATACACAAATTTATGAATAAATTGTGTATGTTTAGATGTTATGAATATGTGTGTATGATGGTTGTACCAACCATGAATTTCATTTGAGATAGTATACTTTGATACCATGAGGAGAAGCCATGAAGGTATGAAAGTGATACTTGATATTAAGGCCAATCATGCATGAAGGAAGAATTATATTGAAATAAATAAATAACTAGCATTGAAATATTAGTTGGAAATGTTAGTTGAGAAATGGATGAATTAGATCCTAAAAATGTGAATTATAAAGAATCGGTGATTATGAGCCGGGCTCGGGACCGATGTAGATAACGGTGATTATGAGCTGGGCTCTAGACGTAGTAGATGACGGTGATTATGAGCTGGGCTCTAGACCGTAGTAGATGACGGTGATTATGAGCTGGGCTCTAGACCGTGGTAGATGACGGTGATTATGAGCGGGGTTCTAGACCGTAGTAGATAACGGTGATTATGAGCTGAGCTCTAGACCGTAGTAAGTAATGATGAATTGATACTAAATGAACGGATTAACTATAATGTAATAATGCTCTAGATTGAGGGCCTCAGAGATTTAAACTTCGATTATACTTAGTATAGTTGTCATTGTACTTGTCAAATGCTTCCAAGTACTGACCTCCCCTTCACGGGGGAGGCCACCTCACAGTTTCAGGTAGAACTTGAAGGTTGCTACCATCAGCCGCTGTTTCGGGAAGTTTCTGAGAAGAAGACTTGGTTCGTGCTTCTTCCGTTCTTGTTTTGAAAACAATATGAATAATGCTCATGGATATTATTTTCTGAATATACATTTCGGGGGTTTGTATACCAATGTTTGCCAAGTGTGGCTTGTACACTTGTAATGTTGTTTCCGTTGTTTTAAATGAATGATTTACATTATGTTTGTTTATGGATGTACTATGTGTGAATGATATTCATGACGCCTTGTATAGTATGGATGAGTTGAACTGCGGTTGACTATTCGTACTGTGCGGCGGGTAGATACGGCATGTGTTGGGTGCATCACGAAGCACATGGAGTAGTAGTTGAGCCAAGAAAGAATTCATTCATCATAATAGATTAAGAGAGAACATTCTACTTCTCTCATATCTAGATGGATCATAAAGTCATTGGCCAATGCAAAGATATATTCGTTTTGGATATCGAATATGATCATTATGGATCATCTAGAAAGATTGAGAGATAGAGACTAAGTTATTGGAATAGACACAATATCAAGTTCTAGACTTAGTTGAATGTTCGCTGAATGAAAGGACCGTATCACTATGAGCTCTATATTACAGGGAGTTTGAATAGTCCTCGCAAACGTCCTTATATATTAAGTTTGTCTGGAGAATCGTCTAGGGATTCGCTGAGACCTTAATTTGATTAGTGCTTAATATATAAGGCCCTATGGGTCACACAACAAGTGATTATACCTTCTGATTGAATTGTTAAAAGGAATTAAATATTATTATTTGGATTAAATAATATTTAATTCATAATACTGAAAATGGATTAAATATTAATTAGATTAGACATATTTAATTCATGAAGTTGAAGGAGAGTTCTATTTGATAGAATCAATTAAGTCAGATAAATTAGATTTATCATACTTAATTAAGATGTATTTATTATTAAATAAAGTTGATATTTTCTTGGATGCAATTTAGAATTAAAGAGTATTCAAGAAAAGGTTAAATAAATAATAATAACAAAAATGTATTAAGAGAATGAGGGTGGCGGCTGCCCCCATCCTCTTTGCTATGTATGGATGGTTTATTATTATTATTTATTATTATTATATCTTTATTTGTTAATAAATGATATTGGTTATAGTTTGACTAGAACTCATTAATTAGAAAGACTTTTATTGTGATTCAGAAACTAGTTTAGAACTAGCATAAATACATCCACCTCCTTCATAATTAGTGACAAGTTTTCAGATTCAGTATTACCAGTTTATTTCCCTGCGAAGAGATTTCCTAGCCTTTCTCTTAGGGAGATCCAACCGTTCTTTCGGGAAGGAGAAATCACGTGGATACCAAAGGTCAAGGATTATCACCGCTAGGCTGGAAGATCTGTAAGTTCTAACTCAGATCTGTTATTATTATCATATTCGTTATTTTATCATAATCAGGAAAGATCTGTTTGGGAAAATTTTAAACTTCCGCTGCCGTACTTTCGAGGTACGTTACATAATTTTCCTAACAGTGGTATCAGAGCCAAACTGAGTTTAATGACATCATACGAATTTTGTTAGATATTTTTGTTAGAAAAATGTGATCTGCTTCTTTTTCGATGCTGAGAAATCATATTTTTGTTGAGTATCTTGTGGACTATTTTAATTTTAGAAATTAATAAGTTTTGTTTTGGAAATCTCTAGTGCTCCCTGGTGTTCTTTGGACGACGGTTTTCTGAGAAATCAAGTTTAACTTTTGGTTTCAAAATTTCTGTTTTACAATTAAATCCGAAATTGAAATCAAAATAAAATTGAAGATATAGATGGTCTCGGATCTTTCTTCTTAACGTTGTGATCTTCAATCGCATATGAATAATCTTTATAAATATGGCGACTGAAAGATCTAAGGCTCTGCGCTTCTTCCAACGAATTCGACGGCGAAGTCCACACCTCTTCCTACGGTGAGCATCGTTGGCTGCAGTTATGCATAAGTTCAGTTTGATGCGGCGGACTGAGCAATCTCGAACCCGTGACTGCGAAACAAAGAGACGATACTCAAGCAATAGAAGAACTGTCCTGGCAGAACTTGCGATGTCCAGCGGTTTCAACGCTCGAAGAGTTCAAGTCCGTCTAGGATGATTATTTGTCTTTAACTAGCTTTCACGTGAATTGCTGGGACGTAAGTTTTTTTGTTTGTGTGGACTTGGTCCATCTTTAAAAGTTAAAAGATAATTGTTGGTACGAGCACTAATTAAAAGTTGATTTGGCCTTAATTAATTGATTTAATTCGATTAATGATCTTTGAGATGCATAAGTTTAATTCAATAAATATGTCTTGATGAATTGTTATATTATTATTGATTTACGCATGCTTAATTAGTTATTTTTTTGAAAGAGCTTAATTAGTTATTTGATAATTAGATTTGTTTATAAATTAGATTTATAATAATGCATGCTTTAATTTTATATATATTTGAGTTAGATCTCATTAACATATTATTTGATAATATGTTATTAGCATCTTGATTAAGTAATTTAATACCCCGCTAAATGTTCCCCATAAATTAAAATTTAAGTCTTATCTGGGATAACGACATCACCCATCATAATTAAATTAGTAGAAATATTTTTTCGTTGAAGAATATTTCACCCAAGTGTTTATTCCATTCGACAAAATATAGAACTAATTTATAGATACATATGTTTGTGATCGTGTGATGGTTTTGACTTACTTAAATTTGCTCGAGTCGCCCAAGCGTCAGTGTTAATTTAAGGATGTCGATCAATTTAAAAATTGATCAACCAAAAGTTGCTTGGACGCAATTGGTCTAGGGACCTACCCATTATATTATTACAGTAATCAGCTCAAGCTGGGACTGTAATAGTATGAATGAGGATTTTGGCCACTATGATTGTAAAACATTCAATGTTCTTTTTATTGGGGTCAAAGAGCATGTAAAATAGTGGGAGCTAAATAATTAAAAGTCCATATTATTTAGTTAACTAGATGTGATCATAGGAATTAATATATGATTTTAATTCCGTTCTATTTGAACTTCTTTAGGCTTTTAGGAATGTCGAATTTATCATTGAGAAGTATCTTGGATACATGCAAGCTTACTGGACCAAACTTTCTGGACTGGGAAAGAAATGCGCGTTTAGTTCTTAGACAAGAAAATATTGAGTATGTGTTAGACACGCCGGTACCCAAGATTCCTGATGCTAACTCTCCCGAGTTTGCCACGTTTGACCTGACTGCTCGAGAGAAACACGCTACTGATGCTAAAACTGTGCAATGTGTTATGTTGGCTGCAATGTCTATGGAGTTGCAAAGGCAACACGATAGGATGAGCGCCTTCGAGATGCTTGAACACTTGAAAAGTCTGTTGATTCAGAGAGTCGGACTCTAGAGTATGAACTTCTGACAGACATTTTCAAGTGTAGGCTTCAAGAGGGTGGCAACGTGTGTGAGCACGTCCTCAAAATGATTGGCTTAATTGAAAGAGTTGCTACATCCGGAATTAAGTTTGAGGATCGTGTCTCAGCTGCTATCATCTTATATTCGCTTCCGAGTTCATTTACTAACTTCATTGTGAATTATAATTTGAACAAAACGAAAGAGACCATGCCTGAACCCCATAACATGCTCAAGTCTTATGAAGCCTCAACCTCTAAAGGAAAGACTGTTCTTATGGTAAGCTCTAATGCTAAGTCTCGTTCTAAGAACAAGAATAAGCAAAAGAAGAAAGGTAAGGTTGGACCTACTCCTACAGCTCTGAAGCCTAAAGGTGGAGGTCATATGAAACCAAAGGTTGCAAAGGATGTTTGTCTCTACTGCAAAGAAAAGGGACATTGGAAGAGAGATTGTGAGCTGTATAAGGCTAATCTAGCCAAAGCACCAGGTGCTTCAAGCTCAGGTATTTTTATCATTAAATAAATATGTCTATAACTAACTCTCATTGTTAAAGTATTAGATACAACTTATAGCTTACACATTTGTAAAAATGTGCAGAAGCCTGAGAAGCAGTGTAGCAGTTGGACTGGGTAAAATTGACCTACGCGTGAAGGCTGGAGCAAAAGTTGCTGCTGAACGTGATAGGATCTTATAGTTTAGATTTGCCCGGTGGTTTTAGATTAGAATTAAATAATTGTTATTTTATTCCTTCTATTACCAAGAAGATTATTTCCATTCATATGTTAGACATTAAAAGATTTCTATTTCCATTTTGCTAATAATAATTGTTATTTTCATAAAATGGTGTTGTTGTGGAAATGCTTTTCTTATGAATGGTTAATTATCAATCGACATATTAGTTATTAAATGAATAAAATAAAAGGATCTCGATTAAGTAATCAGAAAAATTACTACCTATCTATGACATTGCAAACTTGGTCAAATTAATGAAACAAGAATAGCAACGCTAAATAAATTAGATTATTTAACACCTTTTGACTTTGAGTCATATGGAACTTGTGAATCTTGTCTTTCAAGTAAATTGACTAATAAACCTTTTCTAGGAAAAAAGGATAGCAAGCCAAAGCATACTTAAGGAAAATTTCTGATTTATTTAAAAGATCGAAGAATTCAATCATAATGAACTCCTCCAGAACACCTCAGAAGTGTGACGTTCTGCAAGAAAACAAAGGGCCTTGTTAGACATGGCTAGATCTATGATGAATTCATTTTCTCTTCCAAACATTCTTTTTAGGGTAAGCACTATAAATCTCAATATGCATTCTGAATAGTTTGATTAGTGCAAAACGTACTATATGAGTTGTGGTATAATAAAAGACATTTTCTTCACATATTAAATATGGGTTGCCCTACATATGTAAGGAAATGTGCACTAATAAAATTGAAAGATGAAGTAACATAGAGAATGAAGATTTGTTAGATGGTCTGACGAAGGATTCAGTGGGAGAATTAAGTCGAAGAATGTCTCTAGGAGTATATACTTCAGCTAGTGGGAGTAATATAGGAAGCGCTTGGCACCAGCAGGTGATTCTTATGAAGAAAGTAATGGCATGGTTGTCATTCCTTCTGCACCTAACTCTCCCTCTCTGAGTAAAGCACCAGAAACTCTCTGAACATCGGATAGTCCAATGAAAGAGAAACTCTTCACGATCAGAATGAACAGCCTGAACAAAACGCAAAACATTCAACTTTGTGGGTCTACTAGGATTCGTCATGAACTAACTAGGTTTGGCTTCCTCATGGAGGATCATGATGATGTTAAGATTCCTGATACGGATGAACCTGAGACCCACATAGAAGCAATATTAGATGTTGATTCATAGAGGTGGCGAGAAGCCATAAAATCTAAAATGGACTCGAAGTGTATCAATCAAGTATGGAACTTGGTTGACTTGCCTGTTGGGGTTGGACCCATTGGATGCAAAGATTTTCAAGAAGAAAATTAATGTCAAAGGCAAGGTGCAAACATACAAAGCTAGGCTAGTGGCTAAAGGTTATAGTCAAATAGAAGGAATTGACTATAGTGATACCTATTCGCCAGTTGCAAAACTCAAAGACCATTCGGATTTTGTTTGTGACAGCTACATACTATGATTATGAGATTTGACAAATGGATATCAAAACCCATTTCCTTAATGGAAACCTCAAGGAGGAGGTGTACATGGTACAACCTGAAGGCTTTTGCATCCATGTCAAATTCTAAATCATTATGTTAATTAGAGAAATCTATTTACGGGCTAAAACAAGCCTCTAGGAGTTGAAATATTAATTTTGATGAAATAGTCAAATCGTTTGACCTCATCAAATGAAATGAGGATGCTTGCGTGTTTAGAGTGCACAACAATGATAGCGTGGTCTTTATAATGATATATGTTGATCATAGAGAATGATATCCCCTCATTGAAGTCCGTGAAAGGATGGTCACCTAAAATCTTCATGAACATCTTTTTGTCTATGGTAGACAAAAAGGACTGGTAGAATTTAATTATTCTAGCACTAGTTTCATGTATGATAAGAAAGACTACGAGTCACGGTCAATATATGTTTTTAGTCTCAATGTAATAGTAGTGCTGAAAGAGTTACAAGTTAGAAACTACTATAAATTCGACAACTAGAGCCTAGTAAATTGTTGCATTTGATACAACACAGGTAAGCGTTTAGATATGTTAGTTCCTTAAAGACACAGGGGTAGTTCCTAGCGACAGTTATCCAATAATTGTTATTGTGATTGTACCTGGTGCATTTGCACAAGCTAAGGAACCAAGATGCGAAGTAAGGAACTAGAAAATACCAGTATGCTATCATGTTTTGATAACAAATAGTAGGATGAGAAGTTGCAATAGAATGCCTTCCCGTAGAGGACAATTTGGCTCACCCATTCACCAAACCTTTGAGATGCGAGAAACATACTAGACTTTTAAGAGACTAGGTGTTAGACGCATCGGTGATTGGCACTAGGCCAAGTGGGAGATTGTTAGTATATATGTCCTAGCGACAATCATTTTTTAGAGATATATGTACTTGATCACATTCAGTTTTATATATTTGATATATACGGTATTACACATTGACGGTTAAGTATTTCAATTGTCAGTATCTTATTCATAATTGTGTTCCCTTGGACTTATGTTGTCAATAAGTAAGTGGGAGCTTATATGATATAACATAAGGTCCTAAAATAGCCCCAATCAATGATCATCAAGAATGGGATATTGATGATATGCGATAAGATTGGTATGTGGGCTGCATCATACTTTTAGAAAGTATAGTTGATCTCACGACTATGAGTTCCTGTAATTCATGATGGTCACATAGATATTTTAGAGAATATTGGCATACCCGCCGAGAAACCATTTGATAAGTTCTATTCATGTGTCTATGGGATTATCAGCGTATAGAGTAGTGTAATAGTCCTCCGACTTGAGGTCAATACGTACTACATATGCGGAGTGATGTACTTTGACCATGACCAACGCTTGCACTCCAATCGGGGTAGATACGGCATGTGTTGGGTGCATCACGAAGCACATGGAGTAGTAGTTGAGCCAAGAAAGAATTCATTCCTCATAATAGATTAACAGAGAACATTCTACTTCTCTCATATCTAGATGGATCATAAAGTCATTGGCCAGTGCAAAGATATATTCGTTTTGGATATCGAATATGATCATTATGGATCATCTAGAAAGATTGAGAGATAGAGACTAAGTTATTGGAATAGACACAATATCAAGTTCTAAACTTAGTTGAATGTTCGCTGAATGAAAGGACCGTATCACTATGAGCTCTATATTACAGGGAGTTTGAATAGTCCTCGCAAACGTCCTTATATATTAAGTTTGTCTGGAGAATCGTCTAGGGATTCGCTGAGACCTTAATTTGATTAGTGCTTAATATATAAGGCCCTATGGGTCACACAACAAGTGATTATACCTTCCGATTGAATTGTTAAAAGGAATTAAATATTATTAATTGGATTAAATAATATTTAATTCATAATACTGAAAATGGATTAAATATTAATTAGATTAGACATATTTAATTCATGAAGTTGAAGGAGAGTTCTATTTGATAGAATCAATTAAGTCAGATAAATTAGATTTATCATACTTAATTAAGATGTATTTATTATTAAATAAAGTTGATATTTTCTTGGATGCAATTTAGAATTAAAGAGTATTCAAGAAAAGGTTAAATAAATAATAATAACAAAAATGTATTAAGAGAATGAGGGTGGCGGCTGCCCCCATCCTCTTTGCTATGTACGGATGGTTTATTATTATTATTTATTATTATTATATCTTTATTTGTTAATAAATGGTATTGGTTATAGTTAGACTAGAACTCATTAATTAGAAAGACTTTCATTGTGATTCAGAAACTAGTTTAGAACTAGCATAAATACATCCACCTCCTTCATAATTAGTGACAAGTTTTCAGATTCAGTATTACCAGTTTATTTCCCTGCGAAGAGATTTCCTAGCCTTTCTCTTAGGGAGATATAACCGTTCTTTCAGGAAGGAGAAATCACGTGGATACCAAAGGTCAAGGATTATCACCGCTAGGCTGGAAGATCTGTAAGTTCTAACTCAGATCTGTTATTATTATCATATTCGTTATTTTGTCATAATCAGGGAAGATCTGTTTGGGAAAATTTTAAACTTCCGCTGCCGTACTTTCGAGGTACGTTACATAATTTTCCTAACAGTACCAACCATGAATTTCATTTGAGATAGTATACTTTGATACCATGAGGAGAAGCCATGAAGGTATGAAAGTGATACTTGATATTAAGGCCAATCATGCATGAAGGAAGAATTATATTGAAATAAATAAATAACTAGCATTGAAATATTAGTTGGAAATGTTAGTTGAGAAATGGATGAATTAGATCCTAAAAATGTGAATTATAAAGAATCGGTGATTATGAGCCGGGCTCGGGACCGATGTAGATAACGGTGATTATGAGCTGGGCTCTAGACCGTAGTAGATGACGGTGATTATGAGCTGGGCTCTAGACCGTAGTAGATGACGGTGATTATGAGCTGGGCTCTAGACCGTGGTAGATGACGGTGATTATGAGCGGGGCTCTAGACCGTAGTAGATAACGGTGATTATGAGCTGAGCTCTAGACCGTAGTAAGTAATGATGAATTGATACTAAATGAACGGATTAACTATAATGTAATAATGCTCTAGATTGAGGGCCTCAGATATTTAAACTTCGATTATACTTAGTATAGTTGTCATTGTACTTGTCAAATGCTTCCAAGTACTGACCTCCCCTTCACGGGGGAGGCCACCTCACAGTTTCAGGTAGAACTTGAAGGTTGCTACCATCAGCCGCTGTTTCGGGAAGTTTCTGAGAAGAAGACTTGGTTCGTGCTTCTTCCGTTCTTGTTTTGAAAACAATATGAATAATGCTCATGGATATTATTTTCTGAATATACATTTCGGGGGTTTGTATACCCATGTTTGCCAAGTGTGGCTTGTACACTTGTAATGTTGTTTCCGCTGTTTTAAATGAATGATTTACATTATGTTTGTTTATGGATGTACTATGTGTGAATGATATTCATGACGCCTTGTATAGTATGGATGAGTTGAACTACGGTTGACTATTCGTACTGTGCGGCGGGTTGTTGACGTGTCCGGCTAGGTCCGGAGCGTGACATGCATCATCAGATCTTGACCTCCCAATAGCACTACGTAAAGGTACACGATCTTGTACTCATCCTATTTCTTCATTTGTGTCGTATAGACAGTTATCCCCTGCCTCATG